GCTGTCACACAGCAAGCTAAACAGGAAGAAATGGCTTAAAAAAAGCCATTTTTTTTAATGGCTCCATTTTTTAAAGGGGAAACATTCGCTAGTTCCAGGACTTCAGGTTCCCCTGTCCCCCTGACAGATTTGTTCAGATGCTTAGCTTTGCCCACTCCTCATCCCTACTCTCCTGCTTCTCCCAAATGTTGTTTGCAGCTGCCTTTGCCAGCTGTAAAAAGCTGTCACAGTCCTCTATCACACTAACATTTCCATGGCTGTGCTTGACAATATCCATTTCAAATACTCCTTAAGAAACCAAGCCTCTTTTTAATTCAATTTTATACTGACTTTATAACTTTCCCAAAACGAAAAGATATAATTAGGCTCAGTTTAGATCAACAGCAAAATCAAATGCAAGGAACATGCTTCATATTACAGCTGAAGAGATATCTTCATTTCGTATCTTAATTTCAAGCTGGTTGATGATACAGAAGGCTATCATTATTCCAGGGTTACTCGTTGCTGCTGAACCTGTAGCTCCTGGAATACCTGTATATGTAATGATATACATACCACACAAATGCAGAACACATTTTATACCCCAAAAAGTTGCCAGTGTAGGAGAATCCAGAGATTAAAAGGAAGTAAAACTACACTATCATTCCACATGGAAAAGTGGTCCCATCCAGGACTGAAGCGAGGTAGAGTAACAGGCGTAACTAAGAAAACTTGCTCTCCCAGTTCTCATGGTATGTTGGTTCTGATGATAAATACAGGAGTACCTGTAAACCAATTAAGTTCTAGTTCATTGCAAGCACATTTTTGGATACAAACTTAAAATTGAATGCAAGCTCACTCCCAGTTTTGTCCTCATGTTCTTTGTGATCTTCTTCAATTGCAGAATTAACAGGAAATGCTAGTTGCAAGCCTAAAATAATTCTTCCCCACCTTCTTTCTCTTTTGTCCTATCTCACCACTCTAGCTTCAAAACGTCAGGAACACAACACACAAAATACTGACAGATTATAGAGGTTTGCTTAGTATGTTTACCTCTCACTACTGACAGTGTATCAGCTATGCCAACATTGTAGAAATGTGCAACACTTTCTTATGTGTAAGTGATCTCTTCACAGCTGCAAGTGTACCCATCATTCTGTATGTCCTGTACCAGAAAAGTGAACAACTGTATAGCTCTGACAGCCAACTCCTTCAACCTATAGACATCCAGAAATTTTGCTTGCTGTTTCTTTCCTGAGGGGCTAGTTTTATTGCTCATCAACTACCTGGCAGTATTGAGGTTGGGTGGGTTTTCTTTGGTGTGTTCAAGCACATTCCTGCATGGGTATTATCAGATTGCTTTTATTTTGGTAAAAGAAAATAAGGTGTCCTGCAGGGACCCTATACTTGCTGTTATTCACACCTAGAATTGCTCAAGCACAAAAAGCTGAAAGCTAACAGTAATACACTAAAATTTTCGCTTTTTAAATTTGTTCACTGGACAGCAATTTTATAGTCCATTTCTCTTCTGCAGTTAATCTATTACTGCTGTGCAATCAGAGGAAAGAGAATTACTTTTTCTGTCTACATGAAAAATGCAACCACTAATATCCAAGGTATTAGGGTTTTTTCCTCCCTCATATTAAAACTTAACTGGTAGGTGTTGTGCATTTTTTGTTTGTTTAGTGACATACTGAATTTTATCTTTATATATGTATAAAACAATAAAGCTATTCACTTTAGGGGTAATGAGGGAAAAGCTTTCTATATGTCTCATTTCTGTCTACTATTAGCAACACCGCAGTGATACAGATGCAGAAATACCCAGCAGAGACTTAGCTGTTGTACGTGTCTTCCATACAGCATGGCACATGTGCTCCGACAAATAGGTACCCTAGTCACGTGTATTTTGTATGATGATGAATTAAAGAGAAAAAATACTATAAAAGTTATTTCTCACTGTATCAACAATGCCTCCCTGTAATTTACGCTCACTAAAAATGATGTAACTTAATACAGCATAACTCTAAGTAGACTAGCAGTGTGGAGATACAGACCTACCAGTAACACCTGAAGGTAAGACCACATTTCAGATACATCATTTTAATCTAACAGGAACGTGCACCTAAGCACAGAAAGAAAATATTGGATAACTAAATATCTAAGAAATTTCAGAGCTAAAGATGCTACATTCTAAAATCCCCTACTGGAAATATCTCTCTAGAAGGATCCTTTGAAGTTGAATGTTCATCTCCAGCTGAAAGCATATCCAGAGAGAAAGATATTAACATTCCAAAGCATGGTAAATCTCTGACCCACCATTGCCCATGCTGCAGCACTTTTTAAAAAAGCAGTTTAAAATATTGATAAGAGCTCCCCTTACTGGTCTGCCTTCAAATTGTGAAGTCTTCGGTCCTGAAAATCTTTTTATATGAAACGAAAATGGGTAAAATAGTACTTCTACTCCACATTAAAACAAAACAAAAAAAACAGAGCTCCACCTTTTTCTATCAGAGACACTATTTTTTATATTTCTTATTAGTTAAGTCATAAGATCAAAGATAATGACTTAGTTTAGGAAGAATTTGTTCTTCCATCAAATGCACTTCACCAATTCATTAAATCCTTAATTTTGTATAGCACATGTAAGCCTTGACAAAGTCTGAACTACAAAACAAACACAGACACCCAATTCTGACATACTGAGTAATGCCTCATTTCACTGTAACCACCACCAGCTTTAATGGGATCATTTGTGGGATAGTCAACGAGTCAGTGTGGGAAAAGGATCAGAATCTGTTGTGGAATTTGGAACCGCAAAAACACCTATTGTAAAAGCTTTCTGCTTTCTTCAATGGCCTACAGCCTGGTTGAAAGAGCAAAATATACTTCTCAGCCTGTGTTGGTTTATGTGATTAAAGAGTTGAATTTTTTATATATATGGTTTTTAGAACCCTACCTTTGCAAACTCAACCTAGGGGCTCACTAAAATGGGACACTTTTATGGTGATGATGCCAACTAAGCAAGGTTAAAGTAAGTCATTTTAGTAACACCACGAAATATCATTATCTTCAATTTGCAATAAACAATCCTGTTTACTTCAGCTCACAGTAAACAATTCTGTTAATGCATAAAACACATGTTCCCTAGTTTGTCCTTGTATACTTGAGGTGGCCCTGCAGTCAACGTGAGAAAAAAAACAGTAAAATCTGTTGTTAAGCCACATTAAAAAAAAATAATCAGAAGATCTGCTTTTGAATACACCCTGCAGTCCTGGAAAGACAGTAAAATAAGATTTCTTAATGTACAACAGCACTTGGAGAAGTTTTTGCATAGCATATCACACCAGCCATCTAGTACTCGGCACTGTGCTACATAGAACAAAACCTAAACTGTCATTATAAGCACATTAAATTTCTAAACGAATAAACAAAAACGTTCTATCATTCTTCATACCAAATGGATTCAGATGCCTACCTTTTTATGATAAGAACACTGCCAGTTTGGCTACAAAGTCAAATCCACTCCATCTGGGTTCTCTCAGGTAAAGTGGTACGATTCCCTGAAGCATTCTCTATTGTCTTTCAACAAAGTTTTCTTTCTGGAGCCACATCCATTCTCTATACTGATCCTTGGCTATTTCCTCCTTTACTGCACTGGACAATTATTCTCTCTGGGCTAACTGATATACTGGAGAGAAGGAAAGGGGGACTTATGCATTGGTAACAAGCTAAGAAATTAATTATAAACCCTATCTATACTAACTCAGGATTATCTTCATCATGCTGCCCTCCAGAATTAGCATTTAGGCTTATTTGCTTTTGTGGTACATTATATGGTACATATTACACTGTTAGCTTTTGGGGGGGGGGGGTTATGTTTATTAATGGTCTTCAACCTGAGGCTTCAACAAAAAAACACCAAATAGTGTGAGTTTCAATAAAAATGAGGTGCTATTGCTTTATTTTAATAGGAAGCTGCATTTTTAGTTTCCACTCTCCTCCCATTTAACTTATATACTTTGTTTGCTTTGTTCAAATGCTCTTACCTTGCTTTGGAGATCTCTTTCATATTTCTGTCAAATATAACGCTTTAGCTTCTAAATTTCTGTTAATGGATGTGGTATTTATAAGCCTGTTCAAAGATACAGTAACTACTCATGAGCAACTATTTACATCATAAAACACAAATAAGTAAATTTGCAAGATTTTTTAGATCTAAGTATAAATAAGTAGCAAATGAGAAATTAAGTTCAAATAAGTGTTCTTTAGGTAATAATTCTATCATGCTCTTCCTCCAGTAGACAGGATATTTTGAACTCGGACTAAAAGCAAGAAGTAAAGCACCGGCTCAACCCTTAGCAGTGAAAGCCCATAAAGATAAAATTTGCTGCTTCAACAAGAAGCAACAAGAACTCTCTCATTCAAGCTCTATTTTCGCTGCTCAAGAAGGACCTGAGCAAAGTATAGCACTCATGCTAGATACCAGCAAAAGTGAACTTATTAGCTATGAATAGAAATGTTAAATTAACATATAATACTGCAAATAGAGAGCTGATTTTCTCACCATATCAACTCTACTAGCAAAACACACACATACAGATTTCAACAGACTTCCTTAACCTTCTATTCGCAAATGCTTCCAGCCTTTAAAAAAAATATTCTTAACACAATGCTTCATTCCAAGATCCACTTACCAATAATATTTCACAGCTGAATGAAAGCCAGCAAAAACATTTAAAATCTGTCAGTGTAAATGTTAACTATCTGAGAATGTCTTGATATTTTTAAAGCTAGTATCTACTTTTCTCCCATCTGGACTATATACACATACATATATATATGCATTTAAAAAAATCCAAAACTTTCTGGCATCCAAGTTTATTCAACCCCAGAAACCCTTGGGTGTTTTGTTTTTTTAATACATATACATACTCAAGGTCCAAAAGCTTCCTCGTTGGATTTCCTTCACCATACTACATGATTCAAGATACTTTTTTCCCCAAGAAACTACAAAAAACTTCATGAGGAGACACCAATTTCTGTTTATTCTTCCAGCATAGAATCATTTACACCTGGTTAGGTTGCAGGGAAGATCTAAGTCTTGACAGGTTTAGAAGTTAAAATCCATAAACATGTTCTTTTGAAAAAGACTGAGAGCAGAGTATAAGAATGCATGCCTGTTTAGTTTATGCAGTTCGGAACTTCTGTCATTACATACTTCTGTGGAAGTATGTAATCTTCTTTTGGAACTTCTATGCATTACATAGGCCATTTAACACTGAAAATATAAGCTAAAACATAGGTAATGCAACAGGAGAAAAAGATAAAACTGCAGGAAGTTTATCATTAACTTGAAAGGAAAAAATCACAACAGAAATGTAGCACTAGACATGCTAAACAAAGAGAAGTTTAACATGTATAATTCTAACAGGACTTTTCAGGCACTGTCATTTGGAGAGTGAAGTATCATTTACCTTTCATCAAAATCTGGATGGAAAAACCCCTAAGATTCCAAAGAAATTATGTAAGGCACTTAAATAAATTGCATTAAGCTATCATGCCATGCTAAGACTACTGATTATCTCTCCACTAAATGAGCATCCAGTAATCTTCCACAAAATAAGTTATGAGGTTAATATTTGACCAATCTCAAGGAAGAGGTAAAGAACCATAAACCGTTCATAAAAGACTTCTGAAGATGTGCAGCTGGTTCTTGATCTATGTGACTGGGGAAACATCCATTCGTAAAAGAAAGAGAGATGAAACAACTTGAATCAAAACCCACTGTTCTATACAGTCAGAAAGAAGGGGGAGTACCAGAAATTAAATGAAGCTAAATTCCACAGGGCTATTGCTCATCTACATATGCCTGAATATAAGCAATTCTGCAGAACTTTCTTTGGACGGCTTTTTGATTAAAATAATCTAATGAAACTTTCTCCTCAAGCTTCGTAATTCCTGGGGGGGGGGGGGGGGGGGGGGGGGGGGGGAGGGGAGGGGAACTACCACCAACTAATCTGATATCTAGCAGGTAAGGAAAAAAAAAATGGTGGAAGAGTCAATAAATAAATCTGTTCTTTATAAAAGCCTTTCTATTTACACTTGTTTTTCCCCCACAGAGAAAAAGACAGCATCTATCTGATGTACATAAGTAGCTCTGAAAACCAAGCTTCCCTTTGAAGCAATATCCCAGAAGTGTTTAATTTATAAATTATTAGTTATAGATCCAATAAATTTGACTATTTTGAGTAGAAAGTGGGATGAGAGCAAAGGTAATACATGTTATTCTTGTTTCTGTAATCTGTATCTGCCAAACTGTACACAGAAATCTTCACAGGTTTTATCATGAGGCATTAGGTGACTTAATAAGCCAATGTCTGAGATAGCGTTACAAATACAGTGTAAAAAAACCACCCAAACTAAGAGGTGTTTTCTTTGCAGCAAAGTGCAATGGGGGAAGAAGAGCTAAGCTGAAGAAAAAAAAAAGGAAAGAAAAAAACCAAACCAAAACAAAACAAAAAAAAAACAAAACCCAACACTCCAAAAAAAATAAAGCCATCTTTCTTCTTCACAAGTGGAACAAACATCTTTATTTCCACTTCCTGATCACATAGCCTATTGTGTCTAGGTATTAGCTTCAGTGGAAAAATACAAGCATTTATATCTAAAGGACTGGTCTCCCATATATGTTACCCCTTCAATTTGCTACTGTTTATATGCAAGTAATCAGTTTACAGTTAAAATGGGATGAGGTTGAGTAATGGATTTTGTGGTCCCCATCTCCTGCCTCAAAACTTCTAGATGCTCACCACTACTCCGCAAACCCAGAACAGCACAGAAAGCATAGCCTTGGTAAAAGTAGGCAAGTACTACAGGGCATTTGTAAAGCACTTGGAAAAACAACCCAAACAAACAAACAATCAAAAAACCCCCCCAAAAAACAAAAAAACAAAAAGAAAAGAAAATTCACACCATCTTTCATTTTTGGTGTATAAAATCCATTAAGTTAAAGCAGTATCTGACCATGCCTTCAACGTATGGAGATGTTCCACCAAGCACAGATCATACCTTAACAGATACTCTTTACATTCTATCAGTCACACTATATCCAGATTTAATCAATTCCACAGGAATGTAACACATTAGAGAAATTCATGTAGCATTCCATTACAAAGACACCACCCTAATTGTTGGGTGACACCACCTTGCAAGATAAAAATCCTAAAGGAAGAACGGAGAGCATGCATCAAAAATTCTCTGGGCAAGTCCTCAAGTGTATCATCTTAAGGATTTTAATAAAGATACTATAATCTTTCAAAATGAGAAATAAAATCCAATTCAAGAGTATTTTGTCTACAAAAATGATCCATTTTCTATTGTAGCTACTTCCATGTGGAACTTACTAACCATAGTGTATCTATTAAAACGGTAACAAACCAAGCTATTGAAATTCACTATTCCAAAACTCGCAGTAATCTCATTTCTCTAGTCTTTTTACTTTTGAGTAATAGGAAAAGAGTTCTGGTCCATTAACTCGCCCACTCTCTCCTGGAGGAAGTTAACCAACTCAGCCAATACAAAGACATGAGTTTCATCCAGGTCTTGTATGATGAACTTCTTTCCCAATGCATTTGACTCATCCAAGTAGAGCAGAAATTGCTTCATTGCTGGGTCACTGTAGAGACAAAAACTCATCAGATCCCACTTCATTGTAACAAGATACAGTTAAAAACAAATAAAAACCCCACCACTTCAAGACACTCACAAAGCCTTCAGAGGAATTAATATTTATTTAAAGAGTTTCTCACAATTTAAAGTTTACAGATCTTTTGAAAAAGTTGCTTCTTTCACAATAGTAATTTCTTGGATTACTTTAGAGATAAAAATAAACATAAACTGGTAACAAGTCAAATGAGAAGAACTGGCTGCTTGATTAGCAGAGAAGTGCTCCTATGCCACTGTTAAAGTAGCTTAAAAAACCACCCAAAACAACCCAACCCTTAATCAGGCAAGTTTGAACTTACATTTCTATCTTCAGCAATAGCACCATAAAAACATGTTTTCTTAAAGCATATTTTTGTTTAAGGGTAACCAAAACCCAGGAGAACATAGATCTTACTCAAAGTAAAGAGAAAAAGTGGTCGTGTATGAATTGTACATTTATCACTGTAGCTGAACAATCTCTTCCTTTTCATGATGTCGCCTTCTAAGTTAAATTTAAGTGTTTAGAAGAAAACATTTTGAAAGTATAGAAATTAGAGTTAACTGAAATAGCTGCATTATACTAGAGAAAGTGTCTTCAAAATATAAGCTCTTTGATCTACTGAAATTTTAAGGAATTCAGACAATATTATTCTGATACTAGTTTTTACGAAACAAGAAAATCATGTTCATCGGTAAAACTTGGTATTTGATTGCAACAACTGGTGAAGAATATCTGCAAGAAATACAGGAAATTTGAATCAGGTAGCTCAGGATACTTTCAAAATTATGGACCTAGTTGTTTTGGCAACACAGTAATTCTTAATATCACAGTAAATCTTAAAAGAACTCGTTGGTTAATCTTCTCTATTTAAATGCAGTATGACGACCAATTGTCTCTTACCTAGAAGTATATAAGGTGCAAAGACATGCAGTATGAGACCAAACCCCTCCCCTGTTCCCTACCTAATAACTCAGAAAACAACCTTTAATAGCAACCTCAAACCTGCAGAAGCATGACTAGATTAAGATAAGTTTTCAAAGTACAAAGTAATTTTCAGGAAGGGAGAATAGGAAAGTCTGGAAGCTATATCTTCTTTAGAAGCGCCATTATTTATGTGCTCATGCTCTGGCATTTAAAATAAACAAAAGAGAAACAGAAGAGATAAGAAAAATCAGATACCAGAATTATGTGGTTCCCAGCATTCTTCCACATCCCCCTTTGGATAGGTGCAGGGAGGTTTACTTTTCGCTTGTTTCATTCAGCTGTACTTAAGTGACTCATATTAGTAGTACTAGGTGGCACAAGCTGTTGTCCCAGCTAGTATGACCAGCCTGTACTATGTTAGGCAGTATCCAGAGACTGGTTTTCACACAATCAACATACAGGAATGCCAGTAGATGCATGTCACAGCAGAAACACCAATCTCATTACTGTACTTGAAGATTATAATCCTTGATATGGTATCTTCAGAAAAGTTTAGCTATTTATTGGAAGAGTATGGATAAAAAAAGACCTGCACAACATTCCACTGTTTTATTTGCTTGATTTACATATTCAGAAGTCTTTTATCCCATCCATCTGTGTCCCCCCCCATTCCCTGTCCATCTGATAACTTAAACATCCTCAGAAAACTAGATTGTAAAAAGCTTATATCTGAAATGTAAACATGGGGACACGTTTACAGTAATTCTGCATTTTCTAGGATGAAACTTTGTGCCCAATCATAGTCTACCCTTATGCAAAAGGTGGGGAGAAAACAAATGAACAAACAACACCAAAACACCAAGAGCTAGCAAAAACAACTCAAAGGCCAGTTTCCCAGGGGACTGTTGAAAATGTCTGATGGTATAACAAATGCTGTAATTTGTTATCCGATAGAAAATTCCCTTCCCTTCCAGGGAGAATGATTAAGTTCCATACTAATAATAAGTGGGACATGGCCATGGAGCTGAATAAAAACCCACAGATCTTTAGGTATGTGTAAAATAAAACCAGAAGGTGCAAAATAAAATATTTTGCTAACTGTTTGAGATTTTAGAACTTCTTGCATTGTCAGTCAAGAATCCTGCTCTGGGCATCTTTACATAGTCTTCTGCAAGGAGACAATTTGTTGTGCTTCAGGAAGTTTGTCAAGGTACTAGCATGAAGCCAAATGTGAGAAGGCAGGCTTTTTGTTATAGAAGAGTTTAGGCTTTGACCTGCTCACACACAGCCATTAGACATCCAGATTTCTGCTGGCTAACGTCCGGTCAGCTCAGAAGTTAGCAGCTGCAAGCTCACAGCCATATGCAGACACATCACAAGAGGTTCAAGGTTCTTCTGCTTTTGTGCAGTTATAATCTGTTAATATGTTTACAATCTAGTATCCCCCCTCTTCTGAATAATCCCTGCTTTTTCAGTCTAGACCCTTAAATTACTTGGAATGTTTCCAGCTCTAAAAAAATAAGTGGACTTTATCCTAAATTAACACAACAAGAGACAGCAAGCGCTGTTACTGACCATTCAATCAGAACACCTTTCAGAACATTCACCATCTTCTCAGTTCTTGTACCAACGCCGAAAACAAGAGGCGACAAGAACAATTCTTGCTTTGGGTCACACACGCAGAGGAAGTCTGAAAGAAAAAGAAACAACGCCTTGGTTGAGCTCAGCCATCCTCCGAGACAACTAACCGCCAACCTGCTCCTGCCCAGCGGCGCTGCCCCTCTGCGCGGCCGAGGGCTGCGAGAGGGGCGCACAGGCCGCGGCAGCAAAGCCCGCTCAGCAGGGGCGCCGAGCCAGGAACTGCCGGCCTCTCCCCTCACCCCTAAGGGCAGGCCGGGCAGCTCTGCCCCTCGCCGGCCCCGCCGCGCTGCCCCGGCGACTGCGGCCGACCTGCGGCCCCTCTGCCGCCGGAGGCGAGGCGAGCCGCCGCCGTGCCAAAGGCGGCCTGGGCAGGGCGAGACAAGCCCCAACCTGCTCCCGGGACGGCCAGGGCGGCTCCCGACCCGCAAATCCCGCCGCTCCCGGGGGGTCCAGCCCCGCCCGCCACCGCCACCGACCGCTTCCCTGACGACGGAACCGCCGCACCCGCCAGCCACCGCTCCGCCCCGCGCATGCGCGGCTTTCCCTTCTCCCGCCTCCTCTCCCGGCACCACCTCCGGATTGGCCGGGTCGGCCCGTAGCGTGCTGGCGTCACGGGAGCGCGGGGGTGCTGGTGCCAGGCGCGGGGCGGAGCAGCGGAGGCGGAAGGTAACGGCGGCGTTTGGCCGGGGTGGGGGTCGGTAATGGCGGCCGGCGGGCCGGGCCCGGCCCTCTGGGGGTTGGGTTCCAGGGCGGGAGACTGGGGGGATCTCAGCCCCCCGCCATCGCCGCCTGCCGCAGCGGGGTGCTTGTTTACCTCAGAAGGCTTGCGGGCTGTTTTTCTCGGTTTAATATTTATTATTATCTTAACGCCTTCGGCCTCGAAGCCCCTCCGGGTTCGGGGCGCCCCCCCCGCGCCGCGGCCTGCTGAGCGGCACCGCCCCGCCCCCCCCGGGCGCGTTAAGAACCCCCAGAAACAGCCGCCGTGCCTTAGGGCGTCACCTGCGCCCTATGGGCGTGTGGAAGGTAGCAAATACTTGGGGTTTTCCCCCTTTGGAAAGAGTCACAAAGTTATCTTCGCTTTACTCCTTGGCCCTTTAGACGTTGCATTGCCTAAAATTTTATGTTCTGGGGTTTGTTTTGTTTTGTTTTGTTCTTCCTGAATGCACCCCAGCGGCGCCGGCACCGCGCAGCCCCGGCGGCACCGGCCGCTGCGGGAGCTTGTTGCAGACTGCAGAGCTTCCCGAACCAGCCGTGGAACAGGGGCCCTTTGCATTCTATCTGTGTGTACCTAAGCGTATTTGCTCTCAGACCTGAACAGAGGTTCCTGGCGACGAAGAAACGGTACTCGCTTTGGCCTCTTGTGTTCGCAGGCGCACGTTTTGAATGCGGGGAATTGTGGCACCTGCTGCCACTGAACTACAAGTTTACTGCAGTTACAGACAGTGTTTAGGTAGAAGAGCAAGTGTGAGCTCTGCGGTTCTATGAATAAAGATAGTAAAGGAACTGCTGTGGGTTGGACAGAGAGTTTGGAGGCCGGGGAGGTGTCTCCGGAGGACTGATTATCAGTGTCTTAAAAGTGTTTCATAATGTTGTGTACTCTGTTAAAGTGAATGGATAAACATGGCACTGAAACGACAGTAGCCAAGAAGTTGTCTGTTGTGGTTGTGGTAATACTGACATTTTTCCAGAATCTTCCAAACACAGTCAAGACAACAGGGAAAAATTAAAGCTTTTTGGGAAATGGGAAAAAATGGAAGACATGTTAATGAAAGGAAACAAAAAAAATCCCCTTATTTAGAGAAATTAGACACTGACATTCAAAGGGATATAAGATCTTTTGTTGGTTTGAAGAGATTATCTTAAATTTGAGGAGAATATCAGGGGCTCCCATATTTCAAGATCAGATTTACTGATCAAGATTTGCACACGTGACATTTTATCATTTTGAATTAATTGTTATTGTGGCGGTACAGACTTAATTTGGCATTCAATAAAGATGTTTATATTTCCAACATAATTTGTTAAATATATGTTAGATAGTAGTATGGCTTTAAATATGTTCAAACGGTTTAACTTAATTCAGTATTTCAGTTGCCAGAAGTATATCAATGCAGACACTAAAATTTCACCTATCATAAAATATAAATTTCGTGTTACTTCTGCAGTGCATGCAGCAACAGATTTTTGTGTATTTTGTGATTGTTATAGAAGTTTAATATTCTTTGTGGGTTTTGGCATAATTCTTGCACTAAAACTACGTTCTGTTAAGACTTGAGATTAAGTCTTCAGCAGAAGTAACATACAGAATTTTATTATTGTGGGTTGCCAAAGCCAATTTGTATATTTTCCTAACTTTAGGTAAGTTTTTCTTATATAAATAAAATGTAAAGGCATTAACATTTACTAATAGATAAAATGATAATTATACGTGAGTGTTAGGAACTGGTGCTTTTGCCTGTCCTAAATTGCCTTGGTTTTTAGTGCTTGACTGATATTGCTATACTTTCTTTGAACCTCATTATGAAGTGGTTAAGATGCAGTGTTGATCAGTGGGCTAAAGAGCATGGCACCTTTATGGTCTCTTCTGAATAGTCTCACTTGTTCAAAGAGGCAAGATAATATCTGGAATGTGTAAGGAAGTCACAGGGTGCCTGTCTTACCTCATTTTTCTACCTGTAAAATGGGGAAAATTCAGTGTCTTGCATCATAGATAGATCAGAAGAATTGTTCCTGTCATACTTCTGAAGCATTTGGGTACTACCTTCATAGAGACCATATTACTGTCAAGATGATTCATGCATGCATTGTGTTGCTTCTGCATTCAGAACTTTGGTCGTTATGAACGTTATGTGCATATTTTTGTGACTATTTGGAAAAAAAAAATCTGTATTGCTTAGTTTGATTTTAGCATTCAATGAAAGCAGTGCAATTACTCTGTCCGTATCCTGTATCTTCGCAATGTTGAATTGATAAGATTTTAATTTTAGACAAGTGTCTCTTCTTCTTCATGGGTATGGCTAGGTTTTCCGTCTTTTGCATGTGTAAGAATTTTTCTAGAATGAGATGCATCCTCTGTATTTTACCTGTAAGCATGCCCTGCAAGTTTCATGAGCCCATCCAGTCAGAGTATTTTAGAACCAATACTTATTAACTGTAGAGTTTTTACATTTTTGAAATACTAGTCTGATTTGCCCTTTAAAGGCAAAAATATGTAGTAGTTTAGAACCTTGTTAGTCAAAATAAAAGACTTACTTGCTAACACAATCAATTATGAACTTTAAAAGCAGTTGGTTGCTGAGTTGTATTAAAGCCCATGTCATGTTTGGTAATGTCTTGATGGAGATATGACTGTATCTGGTATTTAAGGGAGAGCTACTAAGAAGTAGGAAAGGAGATTTACAAGCAGAGAAGTTCATTGGAGATACATACTCACTAAAATCAACAGTAACATAATTGTATGAAAAACTGCTTTAAACTTTTCTTGTAATTGAAATGCAGCCTATTAAATTGAGGCGTTTATAGACTTCCTTAATTAGAGTATATGGAGTGAAATGACATAAAATGGTTTATTGTGACCTTTCTGTAAATCATGACCTTTGCTGTAAAAAGACAGGAAAAAAACTGCTACAGGTTTTCTGCTGTAATTCTTACATCAATCATTACTTTTTTTTTTTTTTTTCCCCCCCCCTCCTGTAATATACAGAATGTCAGTGGCAGCTTACTGTATATTTTGCTATAGACAAATAGGAACTTCTGGTTCAGCCACAAAAACACATCTACCATGGAATGATATCAGTAAGTACAGTTCTATGTGTATTGATCTGAGCTGTTAATAAAAAGAAAAATTCTGTGTTGACATGATGCCATGCATAATTAAATGATACAAAAAATCTAAATCCCTGATTATTTTGTGATCAAAAGTTTTTATTTGCCTGAAGTGGGTATCTGCTTCTGACCTCGCTTTGCATTGTGATATGCAAAATGACACCAGCAGATTATCTGGGATTAGAACATGAGATGAGGGTGTCCCTCCAGATGCAACCTCATTAAACTGTCTTAAACTCTGGTTTGTATCTGATTTATTTTCTTTTTTTAACCTCTAGAGCCAGAGAACAATTACATCCATAAAGTTTGTTTCTATTGGTTTTTCCTCCTTATTTAGTGATATTAGTTCTGCAGTCTTCCCTGTGTAGTCTTCACTTTCTTTGGTGCCTTCTGTGTAGAATGACAGTTCTTAAGAATCTAAAGTTTGGTTTTGAGCGTTAAAAGATAGGATATTTCCATTTTTGCTCTACAGGAAGTGTTGCATTTTTTTGCCTTTTCAACCTTCTCTGCCAGTTATTTTTTCAACATGTAGCTGCTACCTCTTGTCTGCATGCCAACATTCTTATGGTCTCTCAAAGACAGAACCTGGTGGTGGTGGTTGTGGGGCAAATCTCCCAATTCATGCTGAGGAAAAGAAATTATTCATGATAGGTGAGATGTGTTCCATTGGGTTTGCTGCTACTGGTAATAATACTGTTTCTCTGTATTGAGATCCTTACATCCAGATAATCAGCTCATCTTTGTCCAGGCAAGATAGCTCAAATCTGACAGGAATCGTTAGATTTAAAAGGGAAATTGTTGCAAGTGACATGTGTTTGTTCAGCTGTTTGCTTTATAAATTAGATTCAGTGGAATTATTTTAAAAAAACGTATTTTCTTAGTGAGACTCTGCAGGACTTTTCAAAGAACATACATACATACGTATGTATGTATTCATATACACTGAATAAATATCCACACCATGTAAGAAAATATGAACTCCTTAAAATAATCTAAAATTCCAAATGAATGCTAGTGGTACAGAGAAAGTTTACTGTTGATTCTGGCAGCTGAGCAATGAATGTAATTGACAGGTAGAGATATTCAAAGTAAATAGCACTGGCAGGATATAAGCTTTATCCTCTTTCTTAGGAGAACAGGAAATTTTAATCAAGTAGTGTTTTCTCTGTAAATTTAGGTAATCATTTCCTGAAAGCCAGAGAGCAATAGAAAAATCTTTAAAAGCTTATTTTTAATGGCTGACATTCTTATTGTCTAGTAATCAAATGCTAGCTATGTTTATGTTGAGGTGATGCACACAACTTTGACATGAATTTTTAATTTTTTCAAGGAAAAATTGCAAAGGTAACTGGATCACTTGTACTAGGGTAAGTTGTAACTGATAAGCATAACATGTAAATTATGTATACAGTTAAAATTTTCATTCATGTATCTTTTCAAAAATGTGACAATATTAGGGGACATTTAGACATGGTAGAATATAGTTTTGAAGCATATTTTCTGATAGTTATTACTTAAGTATTTTAAAGTAATTTCTCTACTTTGCCAGATTAAAATAATCTGCAAACTATTAAATATTTGGTAAAATCTGGATTATTTCTATCAAAATGATTGTTAACTTATTTTTGCCATATTTTTTTATAATTAATATTCATATGCAGTTTTCTTTTGTTTAAAGAGGCTTTGTATTCATTACATATGAGGTCCTGTCCTTAAAGAAGTTACTGAAAATCGATACTCAAGCTATACATCAAGAAAAACTTAAGTCCTATGTATATGTACGTACAACTTCTCTAATTCCAAGTGAATATCAAGGTAAGATGCATAATTGTTTGGATTTTTAAAATAGAATTTTAAGAGAACAGAATGTTTCTGAAGCCACCCTTGCATAAGGAATTTGCTGAAATCTGTTACAAAAATAATGTTTTTCACATTGTCACCAAATTTATTTTAAGCTGGTGGCTATTTTTTTAATATAGTTCAATACATACAGTTCTCTATATAAGAGATAATTCTCTATATATATATCTATATGTGCGTGTGTGTGTATATATATATATATGAAAAATAATGTGAAAAAACTGCCTTTCAGACTTCCAGTAATCTAAAAATACTCTTGTAGGGATCACATACCAGGCCAGAAAAGAAATCCATAAAGCAGTGAGGAAAATTCTAGAAACAGAAGCTAAAATTTTCCGGAGACCTTTTAATGGTAGGTACTGAAAGCATGACATGATCTGTAGTTATTATTTTTGAATAATGAAACAGAAGCCTTTTAGAAAGTAAAATAATATTTCTTACAAACTTAACATCTTCTTTTGTATTTGAAACGGTGGTAATATTACTTACCATTTTCTAAATTCATATAGAATATTAGTATATTTTATTTGTATTAAACCCCCTCATTTTCTTAAAGTAAATTAAAGTGATGGTTAAGAAGAGATTTGAGGATTTTTTTTTCCAGTTTCAGAAGAGATTTGAAGCTTAAGATACCAGGTTAATATTTGATACCAGTTTTGTGTACAAACGGTGTTTGGGGGATGAAATACTCTCAACATGCCATTTTAGAAAAGTATGTTATGCTTTCATCAGAATTGCCAATATTAACTGAAAGCAGCACAGTCTTTTTGTAACTGCGTGTCATTGCTTTTTAGAGTAATTTAAAATAAGAATTTCAATTCATGTAAGAAACTGTGCTCTTGAGGCATACTATCTATTCTTATTTAACTATCTGTTAAATGACAATAACAATACGTACCTCCACTGTCGTGCTATGAAACTAATCATTCAAGGTCAATCCTCAAGAGTTGCTAATAATTTCCAGCTCTTGCTGGAAGCTGGCAGTTCTGGTCAGTAAGTGCCAGCCAGTGGCTGTGTGTCTAACATGTACATGAAATATCAACTTGGTGCCATTAAAATCAATCAAAACCATCCTGTTAACTTAAGGATCATCATTTTACTGGTGTCATTCTGTCATTGTTTATTGTACTAGTTTAATATTAAAGCATTATACTCTAAATTACTGTTAGTGACTAATATTCAAATATTAAAAGAAGCAGATTTTTTTTTTACCCAACAAATAGAAATGTGACTGTTAACATGCTTATTAATAACCTGGGTTTTATTTGTTTCCTGGTAAAAGAACAATTTGGTACATTTGATGGAGAAGATCATGAATGTGCCTTATGGCTCCTCTTAAAGAGGAGTCAGTCAGAAGACAAGGAGATCCGACTGCAGGCTGTACAAGACCTGGCAAACAACAGTCACTGGCATGGTAATATATGCTGATGTAGCCTAATTCATCCCAGAAATGCAACAAAGTCTCAGTTAGCTGTTCCAAGTCTGCCAACATTTTTAAAAGCTAGTAACTTTTTAAAGCAAGAACTGTAAATATGCTCTAAAATGTGGGGGGGTTATTTACATTTCAAGCACTTATTCTTTCCCAATACACTGATACAGAGTGTGTGTCTGCCGTGTAGGCCTCTTTCTGTTTCCCCACCAGAGAATTGCAGCCACTGCCTTGGTGTGGGAGAGCAGTTCATTAGTTCCTTGGTTTTTCTGTTGGGACTGTTAACACAGTCACAAGTTCTGGCAGTGGTTTTTATAAGGCTCTGTGGGAGTGAGTTTAAGGCCATGGTTAAGTTATTAAAAATTGGTTAGGAGCTGATAGGTAGTAATAGCAAGGGACTAATGACAAACTAGAGGTAGAGGACGTGTATGTGTAAGCATGATTTACAAGCTATTTTCCGTCCTAGTTATTATTTAGCAGTAATAAGTTCTCCCTGTTGCTCTAGCAGCAAAGATTCTTGAAACCCCAGGTAAAGGGTGTGGGTATATATATGTAAGTGTGTCCTCTTCCTCCCTCCATCACTAGTCCATATAAACTAGGTGACGTTCTGATCTTGACTCTTGTTATTCCGGTAATCCAGTCAGCTGAGGACCTTTCACTCTTCCAGTGCAATTCCATGCCATGAGATTTCTCTTGTTTTAGATTGCCTCTTTCAAATTCTAATTAATTTCACCAAGCAATTTACATCAAAAAGCTGTGTTTGAAAACATTTGAAAACTAGGATATACCAAAGCTGAAGCTTTGTGCACTAATTTAATATAACAGTCTCCTGTTTGTAGGAGAATACAATCTCAGGATTTTGGTGCACAAGATGGCCAGTACTCTGGAAGCTAGTTGCTTTTTGTCACCTCCTTTTCTCTGTAGTGCTTATTGCTGTAGTGTTTGGGTATTTCACAAACGCTAATTATTCTTGCCAAGTACCTCATGAGGGGAAACGGGCTTTTTTTTGAAGCTGATATTCCAAAACTGAGTCTGAGAAAGGTTAAGACTGAAAGTATGTTCAAACTTTTCACAGCTAGGACCAAATTTTTCAGCATACTTGTTATCATAAAGACAGTGTTTTGCTTGTCCAAAACACGGCTTCAGTGACTTCAGTTTGCAGCTTTAAGTGATCTGCACCCAAGGAAAAATAGGGCCAACCTGTAACTGTTTGTGAAAAGTGTATTTTAAATGGCTTGTCAGTTTTGTTCTAGAATTGTATAACAGTAAAAAGGATAGAAACGAATTTCTATAGAAAAATGTATCGATCCACTTTAAGGTTATATTTTGATTCAGTTTGCCACTTAATTTCAGCATATCATTTTCAACTTCTTCAGCTATAAAGTAGGTAGGTTTTGGAAAGGAACAGTAGTTACTGTTTAAATCTGGTTTCCCTTAGGTAGGGTAACTGAAAGTTTGTCTTGTATCTTCAGTAAGGAAGGGCTACTTAAAACTGTATTGTGGTGCTATTCTGCCTTTCCTAAGGTCACCTGATTTTGTGACATTAACAAGTTTAATGAAATGTGCCTTTTGTATCATTTAAAATTAGGTGTTTATGTCTTCATAGCTTTGGATTTAAGGCTCTGGTTTTTAACAGTCTATGCAGAAAAAGGTGTGCAAGGTGCCTTTCAAACTTTAACTCAAGCCCAGGGGATTAATCTTGGGTTTGTAATACTTGTATTCTTTTCACAGTGGCAATACTGAACATTTGCTTTTGCATGTGTCCAACTGGTATCTGAGCACAATTAGTGCTCAGATGTATTTCAGCTCAGTATAGTACTGGTCTGATGTGCAGTTTTTATCTTTTGGAATTTGTGGTTACAAAATTAGAGTTTATTTAAGTAGATTGCAGAGAGGTGGTTCTTTTTTAAAGTGTATTTTCCAAGTAGATCAGAAACGACATTTAAAACCAAATGAAATATTTAAGATCAGTTTTAACCCTAACATTGAAGTTCTTGTACTACAGATTATCAGTTTGGTACAGTTGCCCAAACCTGTGATCAAAGGACTGCTATAGGTTTGGCTCGATCCAAAGATATTGACCTTAGATTTTTCCTGCCTCCGCCACCATTGCCAAAAATAAAAAACGTAAGTAAATGAAAAGTTGGTGTTAGATTATTTTTCCTTGCTTGTTTATTTTTAGTGCTTTTGTTGTTGGTAACCATACTAAAGTAGAGTTCTTATAAAGTAAATAACGAGTAGGAAAATTAAAACCAAAATACAAAACTATAATATAGTGATATACCCCTGGGGTATATCTACATTAGTGAGTGGCATGATGGAAAGAAATAACAATGGGAGTGTTGATCAATTATTGTTCTTGGACTGTATGCCCACATTATATATTTACCAGCAGTGAAGTTTGAGCCAGTCACCAGTCTGATACACATACTATCTGTACCTGATAGGCAATGTGAAGCAGTCTTATATTAAGTCATCCTAGATTGCCTTGTTGGTACTGACAGAATTCTACACATAGAAAGCACTCCTGGAGGCCTTTGCATCCTCACTGGTAGCATGGTGCTCTGCTGTAGGCCCACCTCTTTACTGCCAGCTTTTGGGTACCAACAAATCCATATTGGGTAGATTTGGCCTCGGTTTGTTATTATGTTGATTAGTAAGTATATGTATGATGGTTTGAGCAATCATATCATCGTATCAGCTTCATCAATAAACAGAACTGTCACACAAAGCCTAATATAAGAGGTCTGTTGTAATGCTAATAAAATGAATGCTGTCAGAAGTCCCCGTCAGAGAATACCTATATATCTTGCCCAACAAAACTCTGAAAACCAGATTTGATTGGTAGTCATATTCTCAGTTTTCGCTTTATTATCTCTGCAACATTACATGCTAGTGGATCTGTACCTGTCAGTCCTGAAGTACTAGGTTATACTAGTATATGGTTGTGTATCTACTTTATTTATACAGCAGTATAATTGCTAGGTGATTGAAGCTAAGACTTCCCAGTCTGCTGCTTAGGACATTGAAACAAATCACTGTGGCAGCAAGTGTTGCTCTGTACATCAGATATGTCTCTGTCTCTGATTGTAGAATGACTGCAAGTTCCATGACTGTGGGCAAATAAAACTACTTTTTTGAATCTGTTTTCCTGTCATCTACCCTGGATTATTAAACAAACATCTACATGAATATTTTGAAGATAAAATATTAAAAGAAATGTTGTCTATATTTTTTTACTAGTAATTTATACATTCATTTTAATGGAGCAGTACCAAAATTACTGTGTAGTTAAGGGTGAACTTTTAAGCTTCCTGTGCCAAGAGAAACCGTTTTCTCCTTCTGCCCTTCAGACCTATTAGAATAAGGACACCAAGGTATGACATTTAAAGCTTGCTTTTCATCACTTGGAGGTTTTAGAATTACCAAATTCCAAAGTCTTTACAGATATAATTACTAAACCGAAGTTGCAGAGCACTCGAATCCAGGGTTCATATTTTATGGCCCAAATATTCTGGCTGATTCCATTATTTCAGTTATTTCTTTTCTGTGTTTTGCTTTGTGTATTGAACAGAATTAAAAGCTATTTGTTCTTACTTCTCACAGGATTATCCCATAGAAGATGAACTTCGCTTGTTGTTAGTGTCTTTACCTCAGACTGGTCTTGACCCCTGTGTCCAGTACTTCACATCTCTTGCTTTACGTGAAAGTAGTCAGACTCTCGCTGCACAAAGGGTGAGTTCCCACCTGCAGAATAGAACTATTTGGGTTCTTTGTTCCTGCAGAGCTTAAAGATACAAACCTATTTCCACCTCTTTGAGCATTATAATAGGAAGAGAAATACAGAGACTTGGTGACCATACAACATAAGTAAAATCTCTTCTACATACAATCTGTTTGCTTGAAAGCTTGTTTATCTTTTCCAGCTGTACTAGTTGGTCTAGTGAAAGATCGTATGTTTACTTACAAGCCTTCCTGTAAAGCAGATATTTCAACATTTTGCCCAGAACGTTTCCTTCCCCTTGCAGTGCTCATAAAATGATTTTTCATATTTCCTCTTACCGTTGTTTGAGTGTTCTTTTACTGAGGAGATGATTAAACATCTGTTAAGTCTTACTAGCAAACTGATAAGTTGTTAGCACACCTTAAATAGTAAACTCTGTTATATCACATGGAAATGTCTCCCTGTAACAGGTCACTGTTGCCAAAACCAGAATTGGAACACTCTAGTGATCTGCTTGGACTTAGAAACTAAGAATTCTTCAACTCTGTCCAACAACTTCCTAAGTGGCTTTAGGAATATCATTTAAAGTGCCATTATTGCTTAAAAATAATAGTTGTAATTCCAGTATCACACATCTACTATCTCTTGTGCATTCTATTTTTTTATTAAAAGGTTGTGACTTTTTAAATGGGTGATTATTATTTTTTGTAAAATGCAATAATAAAAATGACTGTCATATTTTAGTAGTGGTGCCTGTCAGGCTTTGTTTAGAGATTTCGGAGTGCAATAACTCTATTTGCTATGACACAGTTATGTGTAATATTTTTACACTATCGCTCCTTTATTGTTTTCACAGCCAGAGCTCTTGCTACAAAAGGAGCTTTGGTAAGACACCATACCTGGAGGCATTTTGATATTCATGCTGTTCTAGATAACTTTTTTATTGAGGTTATGCTGGTCTTCCTACTGCATGGTTAAGAGAGACAGGTCTTCAGAGACTATGCTATGTGTTGCAGATCTTTTTTCTTCCTCTTCTTGTTTTTGCAACTACGAAAATCTAGATGCAGTCTGATTCTTGCTTTTTATGCTTAAGCAAACAATCTTAAAAGAAGACATTCATTAACAAAACTAAAATACTACATTTTCTTCCTTTATTGTTTGATTTGAAGTTAGGAGACTATTGACTGAAAATCTGGTTAATATTTTCAGTTAAAAATAGTAGATATTTTTCTGATGTACTTTTGTATGATTTGTACATTTTGAAAAGTGCGTGCATGCTGTGCACTCTTTATAGCAACCTCTATAGATCATTACACACTTAACATTTTAGTTTAGCAATGTTTATTTTATGTAGGCATTTGGAATGTGGTCTTACTTTTACTGATTATCATTTCAGGGGGGCTTATGGTGTTTTGGAGGAAATGGACTTCCATATTGTGAGACACTGAGTAAAATCCCTTCAGAGACAGTGGAACTCTTTTGCTTGCAAGCTTTAGTACAGCATTCTAAGGTAATTTGTCCTTTAAACTATAACTGAAAAGCTACATTTGTAGACATACCTTTCAAATGTTCTCTCATATATTGGGAAGGAATTGCCGTTTTATTGTCTCCTATCCCTCACCCCTTCTCTAAGGATGTTCAGACAACTGAGGCTGCTGTAAATTGAAAGGCAGCATAACAAACTCATTTTTTTCTCATGGGGAGTGTATGTAAGTTCTGTTACTGTTTCTAATTAGCCCATATAAGTTCCCCTGTAGTATACCTGTATGTATCTTTCAATAAGTAAAGGGGACCTCTGACACAGAAAAGCAGATGAAAATGCCTGCAGTCTGGATGGCATTAACAAGTCTTTTCTGTGTAGGGTTACATCCCACTGACAAAGTCATTGGAGATAGATACCGTGAGGAAGCATTTAGTGTTTCCACCCTGTAGCTTCTCAGGGAGGGAGATACTGATGATGCGAAATTCTCAGTGCAAAGTATGTGTGATTTGCGTGAGTTGGTGTACATTAGTTGAGAAAGCCTACAAGCAGTCTCTTCTTATGGCTTTTAATCTGAATCTAGTGCCATGTTTCCAGAGGCAAAGTGGCCTCCTGAAGTCACTTTAATCAGAAGCCAGAACAGAGTGCAAACCTTGGCTATTCACAAAGGCCCCTCCTTTAAGACTCACTACCTTTGGGCAGGATATTGCACAGCATACAGCTAATAAAGTACATCTTTCCAGGACCAGTCTGTTTTTTGCAGACACAGACAAAGGGTATGGAAGACTTTGTATAACAGTGATTCTTCTTGTTTGCTATTGCTGCACATATAATTGCTCAGAAGCCTAGAACACTGAGAAACAGCATTGGGAATACCAAATTGTTATTGGTAGTAGGGATGGATAAAGTGCTGTTTGCCAATATTCCTTTCATATCTTCCATATACATAGAAATTCGGACTTAGTCTAGAATTTGTTATATGCCAGATTTTCAGCTTAAACCAGTTGTGACTGTACTCATTGCAAATGCGTGTCTGTGTTGAAAGCCACAGACTTGAGGACGTCAGCAGTTTCATAACTGCCATGCATTTTTAAGCACTGTAGACAACATGTTCAAGTCATAAGCATTTGGCCAATATCAGTATTTGAGACTACAACTAATTAGTGGATATTCATCTGCTTGGACTAGAATGTATTGTTGCCCTAAAGTTCAATAATGATAGCAGTACTATTTGGAATGTAGAAATACCTTTCCATTTCAAAGAGGAGGGATTACAATGATTGCATTTTAGGTGGTGAACAGGAAGATGAGTAGCTCTGGTTGAGAGAGTGCTTTAACAAATGCAGACAATTGTTCTGTTCAGACTCGAACTTTTGTTGACGTTTGATCACGCCCAGTGGAGAGCAATCTTATCTCCCTTAGATGTGGAAGAGAGTAGAATGATGATACTCAGCATCTTTCAGGTTGTCAATCCATAGAAATCATGCATTTATCATATTAAAATATTTACTTCTTCTTCAACTATGGCATAGTAAATTCTAGATTAATAATAATTTCTATGTAATAAGGGCTCTGCATCATACCGGCTCTTTAAAATTCTCTAATTTGTGAATTAACAGTATCTCAAAGAACCTTTTGCAGAACGTCTACCTATTGTCATTGTATTTACTGTACAATGTTAGGTTTCTTCTCACTGTGATAAAATTGAAGCTAAAGGAGGCCTTCAGCTACTACAGAGGATATACCAGCTCCGTAAAGATTCAGCAAAAATACAAAGGAACATAATTCGCATTATTGGAAATATGGCTTTGGATGAACGTCTACATTCATCCATAGTACGTGCAGGTAAAAGGAAAGCAAGTGTGAGCAGTCTGAATGTCAGATTTCTATGCTAAAATTTTCAGAGGATTCGGTGCTTTTGTAAAATGCTAAGGACCATGGTAGTGGTGTGGTTTTTATATTTGGAGGGGTGGGGAGGTGGTGTTGGGGTTTTTTTTTAATACAAAAAATTTAGACAGTTTAGATGGTGTTGATTAAAAATTCCTATATGCCATCTAGCCAATATTTGTCAGTGCTACAGAGGTGTTCTAAGTCTGATGGATGGTGAAAATTTTGACTTGGTTGATGTTCAGTACACATTACTGGAAAAAAACTTTTGAGTTTCCTAATCTTACAGATCATCTACCTTGTAGATTTCTTTTTTTTTAATTAACTGTATTGATCTTATAAAGAAACAGACCAGCTTGTAGTCTTTACTTTTCAAAACAAAGTGAAACATGCCTTCCCTTCTTTCATGTTAGGCTAGTAACTTTTGCTAAGCTTTGCTCTGATACCCCTTTTTTAATACCCCCTAAATATCATAATGAAAGTTCTGTACCACATAAATAATTTCCAGCATTTTATTATGAAAGAAATAGAAAGAAAACCAGAAAATATTGATAAGCTGCTGTATACTTCTGAGCTAGTGTCTGCCTCTTAAACTCAGTGTGTATTTTTAATCTCCCTGTTGCAAAATGTACCAAAGACACAGGGAGAGACCATGAAGGTGATTAAAAATTTGAAATGGCTGTGATATAAAGAACAAATAACTAGTCTGAGACACTTAGTATGGAAGAAGTGACTGAAGGAGAATATGATGGAGATTTATAAAATCCTTACTGGTGTAGAGAAAGCAGAGGGAATGGTCATTTGCTGTTTCTCATAATGCAAGACCAAGGGTTCTTGTACATTAAGTTACCAAGAGGCGGAACAAATAAATATATAATTTTTTTTCCATACAGTGCATGACCAAACTAAAACTTGCCACAAAACATTGTGATTGTTGAAGACTTAAAAAGCTTCAGAAAGTGATTAGACAAATTAATGGAAAGAAAAATCCACAAAGCTCTACACAGGGAAGCCAAGTTGATTGCAGAAAACTGAGAGGGTATAGTGTAGAATGAGCACTATATACTTGTCCTTTTGTTGCTCTATTCTTTCATTGTTCTGCAACTTCCATTACTGCTTACTTCTGGAGAAAGACAGCTGGACTACAAAGGTCTGAGCTCTAACACCATTCTTACATTCTTACGATGACTGCTTTAACCATATGTGTAGAGGAGGAGCTCATAACAGCAGAGTCAGAAGCTCCCTGAGGCAGAGCTCCTGGTACAAATGTCATTTTAGACAGTGGACCAGACTCCAGAGATGAGTGGTTGGGTACTGCTGGTCAAGAGTTGATAAGACTCCTCTTTTGTTGCTGAATGATGCATAAGAAGAAAGAACCTCTAAGGCTCTTTTCCTTTGTAAAAATTGCTGGTACAGGAAGAGGAAGAAAAGCAATGATGCATAGTGTAGTAGCTGTGATGGGCTATCTGGGGGCAGAAGAATTCTGAACAGTATTTTTGACTCTTCATCTTACCTCGTTTAAGAGAAGTGCAAAACCAGAGACCTTGCTAGTTTTAATCAGGCTAGCTTGGCAGTCTTTCATTGTATGTGGGGAACTGAAAATAGATTTTAGATAGTGTTGTTCTTAAGGAGAACTTGCACAATGGTCAACATTAGTTCTGCTTAGAAATGTAATTTAAATACATAATTCTTTAAAAAAAAAAAAGTATCACAGTTCTCAAAGGTACTTGCATTGAACCAAAACTCACATGTCAATTCATTCTTTTCCTCAGTCTGCAGTGAACTAACTATCTTAGATTAGCAACTTACCGGCCATACTAGTAGCAACATATTATACATGATTTTGAAGCAGCGCTCATGAAGTAAATTGTTGTTTCTTTTCCAAATCAGCCTCCATTTGAAAAATCTCTCTTCGAAGTCTTCCCAGGTTTTATTTATGAACTTGAGTTTAATGTAATTGTGATTTATAGGCTACTCTTGCTAGTAGCAATAAGATTTATTAGGATTATAAAGAAATAAATGTGTGTGTATATTTTAAAGATATTCCTTTGCATTTCTTAGTAGTCTATGAACATCCCCATCCATATGTAAGAAACTATATTTTACACATGGGGTAAGGTATTATAAAGTGTCTGCTTTTTCTTGAAGTAGCTATGACTTAACATTTTTTTGAAGATTGTATCAAAGATTTCCTTCATTAATTCTCTTGTGTTTCTTAGGTATAAATAGTATACTATTTTTAGGATAGTGGGGACATTTTAGGTCCTTAAATAGTTTTTCACACACTGGACTTTGAAATTAGAAATGGTTGTACTCTCAAAGCAAGCATCATTTTTTTTTCCACTCTCATTACTCCTGTGGGTTGGTTTGTATGTCTGTTTTATGCTTTAAGGTTAATTTTCTCTCTGGGACATTTAGATTTTCTCTCTTTCTTGCATCTTACCTGCAAAAAGAGACTTGAGATCTGTTCTCTCTCTGACAGCTGCACTGACCTTCTGATACACTTTCTTTTTCTTCTGAGAAAGGCTTCTCCTTCAGATCATAAGCTGAGCAGTAGTAAAATACATTGCCTCCTTGCCACTCTAGATTTTGGAATTTTGGAGGTTCCACTTACCTAGCATTGGCTTTCCTGCAGTAAAGAGAATGGACTGAAACAATTTGTTTTGATGTTACCATTCTTAAGTTTTAACATCTGTTTTCATAAGTATAGTTCGAAGGATGATGTTTCTGAATACTTTTGTTCAGATGATGTTTCTAATTAGTTAACCTGCCACTTTATTTTTTCAATGTAGGTTGGGTTTCTGTACTTGCCGAAGTAATGAAGTCCCCACATGTTATTCAGTCTTCTCATGCATCCAGAGCTTTGGCTAATCTAGACAGGGACACAGTGAAAGAAAAGTATCCAGATGGTGTTTATGTCTTACATCCACAGTATCGTAGCAGGTAAAACAGAAGAAGATACTGTACATGCTGTACTTCGAGTTACTTGTTAAACAGTTACAAAACTTTGGAAGAGTTGACCTCAGAGTGCTGCTGTACTGATGCCACCTGCTCCTGCTGTTCTTTGCTGGGCTGAGGGATGAATTTAGATTCTCAAATAGGAGAACAACAGAAGTGGTTGGAGCAGTCCATAACTATGAAAGGAGTATCATTGTACTGCATGGAAACATCCAAACACAAACCATGAGATGAATTACCACTTTGCGTGCATTGCAACTGTCTAACCTTTGCATTGGCTGTTGTGGGATACAGTGCCTTGCAATTATTCTGCTGGCAGCAGCAGCCTAAAATGCAGCGAATTTACAGCTTCAGCTTCTTTTAATAGTAATTGTGTATCTGGGACTGAAGCAGTCCCCAAGGTGATATGTCACTTAGTAGCAGCTATTTCCTGGGTCATTGGTGCTAGTCAGGTTACAGGGAAGATCTAATTTGATGATGAGGCTGGAACTACCAACTCACATCAACAGTAGTTGGAGAGAATGGTGATTTTCATTATAGAAAAATACGTGTGAGGTGGGTGCTTTCCATACCTCTTTTTATATCTCTTCTTTTTCATGGGTGGATCCCTGGTTTTTGTCTTGATCTGAGTATTTTTGAAATATCATGACGTTGTCCATAAAAAAATAAATCACTCATAATGTTAAAAATAGCACTTTAGTATCCCTTAGGTTAAAAGTTCTGTGTAAATTTAATTTTCTAAAAGAATATGTACCATGCATCTCTTAAATTCCTTTTCCTGTATCAGTCAGCCCATCAGAGCAGACATCCTTTTTGTTCATGGTCTTTTGGGAGCAGCGTTTAAAACCTGGCGACAGCAGGATGTTGATCGACGTTTGGATAAAAAGGCTTCAGAAGGGGAAGAGGACTATAGCCAGTGCTGGCCAAAGGTAAAAAGACAATAACATTTTCACATGCGGCTGCTATTTTTTCATTAATAAGAGCTGTCCACAGGATCTAGAATTACACTTGTCTGGCAGTTGTCTTTTTTTGAATCAAAAGACTTGTAATCTGTTACACAAGTAGCACTTTCCAAGTTCCTGATGTATTTTTGTTAGCAAGCTGAAATTTTGAACAGGTGGTTCTTGCAAAGGAAAGTCCCTGCTAAATTTAGTGCTTTCAACATCATTCTCCTGCTAGTGAAAGAGGCTGCTTTCCTCATGCTATCTTTTTTTTTTTTTATGGAAAGTTATTGCTGAGAAAAAGATACATAAAATTACATTTTAAATTAAGTATCCTTTCTTACATAGGTGTCTGAGTACCTCAATTTTTGCAGATTGCTACTTAAATATTATTGTTAAATAAGTAATTACTGCTTCAAGCAACTCAAATTGGTATAACCACCAAAGTATGTCTGTAAAATTTAAATTGATCAGTCCTGTTGGTAATTTTAGTAATTCTTGGTTCACCCAGGAGAGGGAGCCAGGAACACACGAGTTAGTAATCCATCTCCATCCTTTGCCTGCTTTGTGTCTGGGGCACAGGCTAGAGTTCACCACCATGTAGTAAAAGAATAATAGTCTAGGTGTAAGATGTATTTTGGGATTAACTGAAGAGCAAAAATCTTGCATGATATTGCTCCCATAGTAACATCTTTGCTTAATTGCTGGTGAATTGCTTGCAAGAGTTTAAGTCCTTCAATTATAAGATTATTCTGGTTTCACTTTATTTTAGACATGGCTGGCTTCAGACTGTCCTGCCCTTAGAATCATATCTGTGGAATATGACACCCATTTGAGTGACTGGAAAGCAAAATGTCCTGTTGAGGCTCACAGGTAACAAACGTAGGGTCTGGAGTTTTGAGGGGGTCAGGAAGGAGACCTGTAGAGCTGATCCTTGTGATCACTTAGTGTAAACCAGTGAAATTAATTCTTCCCGTTGCATTTGAAGACCAAGTTTGGAAAAACATTAGGCACAGTCATGGTATATTTGAGCCTTTTAGCCTCATGGATAATTAACTGCTTGTGGCAACTTCCTAAGTTCTTGCAGTCTGTTCTGGTTTGTGTTTAGGGGAGATGCTAAATTAAGCTATTAGTTGATGTAAATACAACATCAATTTTATATCTTAAGGGGAATATTTCTTAAAATGACTCCATAATACTTCATAAGCACTGCAAAAAAAATCACTACACTATGCCTTTATACTCATGATAAAGTGAAGCATATAATTTTCATAGACTTGTTTAGGTTGAAGAAGACCTGTAAGATCATCGAGTCCAACCGCTAACCTGACACTGCCAAGTCCACCACTAAACCATGTCCCTAAGCACCACATCTAAACGTCTTTTAAATACCTCCAGGGATGGTGACTGAACCACTTCTCTGGGCAGCCTGTTCCAATGCTTGACAACCCTTTTGGTGAAGAAGTTTTTCCTAATACCCAATCTAAACCTCCCCTGGTGCAACTTGAGGCCATTTCCTCTGGTCCGATCACTTTTTACTTGGGAAAACAGACCAACACCCACCTCTCTACAACCTCCTTTCAGGTAGTTGTAGAAAGCAATAAAGTCTCTTCTCTGCCTCCTTTTCTTCAGGCTAACCAACCCCAGATCCTTCAGCCACTCCTCATAAGACTTGTGCTCTAGACACCTCACCAGCTTCATTTCCCTTCTTTGGATGAGCTCCAGCACCTCAATGTCTGTCTTGTAGTGAGGGGCCCAAAACTGAACACACTATTAGAGGTGCGGCCTGGCCAGTGCCGAGTAGAGGGGGCCATCACTTCCCTAGTCCTGCTGGCCACACTATTTCTGATACAAACATACCTTTATTCAAGAAGTGTTAATCCCTGGAAAGAGGTTTGTATACATCTTTGATAGATAAAATACAGCAACTTTATCTGGTTTGGTCAGTGTAATTGCCCTTGTTGGAAGAATTGTGTTTTTACTGACCATGAACCAGGTAGGTCAGAGGAAGATGCAACCTCCAAACGTGTTCTTTCTAAAAAATAAAAATACTTTGAGCCTGTAAAGGTTATTAGGCTTGAATGAATTTTAGGCCTAGTAATTCACTTCAGTGATCTTTAAATCAGATCCTACTGTGAGTCTTTCAAACACTTAAGCAGATACTTAAGCATGTAACTAGTACTGTAGATTTAACTTGTGTGCTTCAGTGAAAGCATGTGCATGACTGCTCACAGGTTAAGGATCTGAAAATTGATTGTTTTGTAGGGGAGAAAAAATTTCAGCGTGTGTATAATAGATTGGAAATTTGGTATTTGTTCATTCCCTCCTCCCTATGGATACACGAAGGACGAATGCAGTTACTGCATTAAAGAAACCATGTAAGCAGGGAAAAAGTAAGGAAGACATGGCTGTTTAATACACCTGTTTGAAATTAAGCAGAGCAATGACAGTAAAAAGCATGTAGTTGATTACCTCTATGAGGTCCAAAGAAGACCGGACCTTGTAGAAGGACCTTGTACCTTGTTTTGTATCCAGAGAAGGGCAACAAAGCTGGTTGAGGGTCTAGAGTACAAGTCTTATGAGGAGTGGCTGAGGGAACTGGGGTTGTCTGATGTCATGGTTTGACCCCAGCCAGCAGCTCGGCCCCACCCAGCTGCTTGCTCACTCCCCTCATGGTGGGATGGGGAAGAGAACTGAAACAGTAAAAGTGAGAAAACTCCTGGGTTGAGATAAAGACAGCTTAATAGGTAAAGCAAAAGCCACACATGCAAACAAAGCAAAATAAGGAAATCATTCCCCACCCCCAGGACAGCCGGGCTCCATCAAGCGTAATGGTGACTTGGGCAGACAAACACCATTACTCTGAACATTTCCCATTTTCCTTCTTCTTCCCCCAGCTGTATAATACTGAGCATGATGTCATATGGTGTGGGATATCCCTTGGGTCAGCTGGAGTCAGCTGTCCCAGCTATGTCCTCTCCCAGCTCCTTGTGCACCCCCAGCCCACTCACTGGTGGAGTGGGGTGAGAAACAGAAAAGGCCTTGGCTGTGTAAGCACTGCTTAGCAGTAACTAAGACATCCCTGTATTACCAACACTGTTTCCAGCCCAAATCCAAAACATAGCCCCATACTAGCTACCATAAAGAAAATTAAGTCTATCCCAGTCAAAACCATCGTGTTTAGCCTGGAGAAAAGGAGGTTCAAGGCAGACCTTGTTGATCTCTACAGCTACATGAAAGGAGGTTGTGTCAAGGTGGGTGTCGGTCTCTTCTCCCGAGTAACAACCGATAGGACAAGAGGAAATGGCCTCAAACCAGGGGAGGTTTAGATTGAGTATTAAGAAAAATTTCTTCACCAAAAGGGTTGTCAAGCATTGGAACAGGCTGCCCAGAGAAGTGGTTCAGTCACCATCCCTGGAGGTATTTAAAAGACAAGTAGATATGGTGCTTAGGGTCATGGTTTAGTGGTGGACTTGGCAGTGTCAGGTTAGCGGTTGGACTCGATGATCTTACAGGTCTTTTTCAACCTAAACGTTTTTATGATTCTAAGAGAACCTTTTTCCTGTGTCCATCTGGAGTAAGTATATTGGAAAAAAATTTGAAAAATAAATAAACGTATGTTTATTTGTTTTAAGGTAGTGTCTCTTTCACTACAAAATGGAAAATTACATTACCTGCTATTTATGGTCACCCAAGCATAGTATTTGATTATTTAATAATTTGATATGGTTAATAAAAAAATTAAAGATATAGAAGATATTTTGAACCAGCAGGAACAAAGATGTAGCAGTAGAATCACAATCTTATGATTGCTCTAAGTGGAAAGGCTCATTCACTGTTTCAAAAGTTAATTTTTATGTCTCTCATCTATCCTGAAGTCTGTCTTCCAGCTCATAAGACACATTTGAGTATCCTTTTCATATGTGGTATGAAAGCAATTCTTGCTGAGAACCAATGGAAATGAAGAGAGTTACTTTGCACAGTGGTCACCCCAATATCCCGATGCTTTTATTATCCAAGGGTCTTCTGTGTTTGATTCTTGTTACACTGCAAGTAGTAAGGAAGTTGTACTTTCCAGCTTGGATTGGGAATTTGTTTTGGTTGTACCACAGATGAATTTTCAACCTCTAACATGTTTCTTATCTTTTCAGAGCTCAGTCTCTTCATTTATAAAATGGAGATTGTTGTGCTTTTATAATATTCCAGTACAAAGCAGTTAGAGATTGTTGTCTGGAAAGTATTATCTGTGACTTTTTAATGTATTGGTTGATCATGCACTTAGTTACTAAATTCCAGTATGTTGCTCCACATTTTAAGTGTTATTTAGCAAAGTACATTTTTGTCAGACATTAGGTATATTCTTGTTTCGGGGGATAAAGTTCATTACACATTGATGATGCTTTCATAAAATGAAAACATAATTTTGTTACAATATGTAAATGAAACTATCTAAAACTCCATACAGAGATTTGTTGAACTAAAGCTAAAGGAAATAAGTGGTGAGTGAAATTAAAATAAAACTTTCTAGTAAGATCAAAAGACTGAACTTAGCTCAATTCCTGTTGTTCTTGTGAAGCCAACCTTACAAAAGTTTTTGGCATTTTTCAGTGTAGCAACAATAATTAACTAACTAATGTTTTCTGTACCTAATTCACTTTCATAGATGTACAGCACTAAAAATTCATTCTCTTTTAGTGTTACCTTTTAACCTATCATGCTTCATCATGCTTTTGTTTGTTTTTTCTCTGCAGGAAGTCTATTGCTTACAGGAGCAATGAGCTTCTTGACAAGCTCAGAGCTGCTGGGATTGGAGACAGACCTCTGGTGTGGGTATCGCATAGCATGGGTGGTAAGCACGTTGCCTGTTTGATATGAAGTATTTATTTGCTGTTGTATTTCAGAACAAGCTGTTAACCATATTCAGTTTGAAATGCAATTATTCAGAATAGTTTAAAAAATTTGCAAAGACCTAAAATTGGAAAAGAGATTTCTACTTTCTTAACGCATTGTATTCAATACCATATACATTTTGAAAAGATTTTTATTGCTGTTTATTTTTACTGTGTTGATTTAAAAACACAAAATCCATGAGTTGAAATTCATGTAAATGGGAACCCAGAGGCAAAATTTTCTCAATGATCAGGCTTATAGTAAATGTCATTAGCAACACTTAAGGCAAACCAAAATTGAATTGGCACCATTCACTGACATTTTATTTTAATGCCTTCTCAGGTTTGGTTTGGGTTTTTTTCAACTTAATCATACATATTTGACAAACTAACGACTAATCAGCTGAAGCAAGGATATGGTTGGCTGTTTCATGCATAATATAGCATGATCCTTATTTTCACAGTGGCTTAAATCCATGCATTAATTCAGTTTCTGTTGCCAGGTCTTCTAGTCAAAAAGATGCTGGTAGATGCTTCCAAGAATCCAGAAATGGATAAAATTGTAAACAACACCAGAGGAATCATATTTTATAGCGTACCTCACCATGGTTCCCAGCTGGCTGAATATTCTATAAATGCCAGATATCTTCTCTTTCCGTCTGTGGAGGTTAAAGAACTCAGCAAGGGTATGCTCACTTTGCTACCATTTAACAATGGGGTTCTATGCTAATCTCTTCATAATGCTTTTTTTTTATCATGCTGTCGGAAAAGGCTGGATAAAAACAACAAACCCCCTTTTTATGTTTTTGGTTGTTCGTTGAATTACTGTAAGTAGTTCTGAGTAGCTGTTTAATTTGATTGCAGAGATGAGGGGGAAGAAGGAAGTCAGAACAAGTTTAAAGAAGAGTAGTTTGGGCCATTTAGCAATGTAACTCAGCATGTGCTGCACTTCAGACTCTTACCTTCTAAACAAATTCAATGATATGCAGAAATAAACAATTGTTGCATATGATAGCTGGAAAAAGGGATTACAAACAAAATGCTACTCCTTTTACTGGAGTATTAAATTTTCCAAAACATCTCTAGGAATGCAGTCTTGCCAGCCAAATACTATAATCTTATGTTGCTCTTTCTCAGATTCTCCTGCCCTTAAAGAGCTGAATGATGACTTCTTGTCTTTTGCCAAAGATAAAAAATTTTCAGTGCTGAGTTTTGCAGAAACCTTACCAACACACATAGGCAGCATGATAAAACTGCATGTCGTACCTCTGGAGTCAGCAAGTAAGTCAAATAGCCATTTAATTGATTTAATTTTCTATATATCCATGTAAGCATCGATAATGAGGAAGGATTATAAATGCTATGGTAGAAAGACCTAGAACAATATATCTGTTCTAGGTTCTTTTGTTTAAACTTTTGTCTGATTTTAAACTACAGTCTCCCTGCTGAGATCAGAGGCTGCTACATTTATATCTTAGAATAGTGATTGTTTATTTGGGTTTTTCTAAATGTGAGTAACACTTACTTATTGATAAAAGCAGGGTGGACCCTGGTCTAGTACTACTAGTAGTTCTTTCCTTTGTAATTATGAGTAACTGTTGTTTATCCTTGCATCAGTAGGCTGAATAGTGTTGCAGATTCCTGCAAATTCCAGCTATTTCCTCCTTTAAAAAATAAGAAAGAAAATTAGCAAACTGCTAATGGAAGGAAAAAGTCACAATGCTGTTTTTCATCATTAAGAGTCATTTATCTTTCATATCTCAGGTACTTAAGCATTAGATTTTGCCTCCTGAAGAGTTCCCTCCATCTTTTTGCCTTTTGTAGAAGGGAACGCCAGACATTTCTTTCTCTTGCTTTGCTTATGGGTGTTCAACTTAGAGAGTTGTTTTAAGTCTGATATGTTCAGGTTTTCCCTGAGCAAAACCCTCTTCTGCACTGCCCTAGGTACCGATAAGGTTTTGAACAGAAACCATTGCTTGGTTGGGTTTTAGATCAGGCTTTCCACCAGCTAAATCCCCTAGGTTAAATGCAATGTTAGTTGCTCTGAAAAAGGCAGGCTGTTTTCCTGAGTCAATATTTTTCAGTATGTCTTCTCAAGAAGAAGTTGTTTTCAAAAATGTTGCTGATGCAATTTTATTGTCAAGGACTGAAATACTGAGCATTATTTATTTATTTATTTATTTAACAATAAAAAGAGGGCAGGATAACAGATTGCACATATAAGCACTGTGCACATATAATTTTGTAGCATATTTCTCCTCGAGATGACACACAATGCAGCATGTGAGCTATCTCGAAAGCCTTTAGAGGGTACATGACAGTTCAGTGGCCCACCACTCATTTTGTTCAGAACCCAGGCTGACAGGCAATGCACTCATTGTTTCTTACATGCATGCTTGGGCACATGAGAGCAAACCTTCATCCTGCTCCGGTGTAATTTTACATGGTTAAAGATGCAGAGTTCTGAGCAAAATGGAGGATTTCTCAGGAGGCTGATTGAACAGATAATGAACTGGAATGTGGCAGTCACAGCATCCTACCTGGAAAGTTCATTAGCACTGATAGCTGTCAGGAGGGAATAAATGCTGTAGTGTGCCCCAAAAATCAGTAGCTGAAAATAGAATACTTGTATTCTACAACTAAACAATGCAAATTTTTCATTTCCCTGAAAATGTGGGTAGTGATTTGTGGGATATTTCAGGTTCATTCTAGTCCCATTTTAACATCCACATCAAAGTATTTTATGAGGAATACGGGCAATTAATGGTGATCAGAATCTGGATACCCTGGATTAATTCCTATCCCTGTTCATGTCAATGCTCAAACTTCAGTCAGGACTTTGCTGTCAGTCATGTCCTGGTAAATGAAGTTTTGATTCTTCAGAGTTATCTATATGGAGAAATGTGCATTTGTGTATTGCCAATGGAGATACTAGAACTCCGACCTAATGGTTTACCATTGTGGGTTTTGTAGCAGTGTATGGCTGTATGGCTCTATCTGACCATGTCTGTGATCAGAGGGCTGGAGCACCTCCCCTGTGAATACAGGCTGAGAGAGTTGGGGTGCTTCATCCTGGAGAAAAGAAGGCTCTGGGGAGACCTTGGAGCGGCCTTCCAGTACCTAAAGGGACCTACAGGAAAGGTGGGGGGGTACTCCTTGTCAGGGAGCAGGGAGTGTAGTGACAGGATGAGGGGTAACCATTTTAAACTGAAAGAGGGTAGATTTAGATTAGATGTAAGGAAGAAATTCTTCACTGCGGGAGTGGTGAGACACTGGCACAGGTTGCCCAGAGCAGCTGTGACTGCCCCCTCCCTGGAGGTGTTCAAGGCCAGGCTGGACGGGGCTTGGAGCAACTCATTTAGAGGAAGGTGTCCCTGCCTGTGGCAGGGGGGTTGGAACTATATCATCTTTAAGGTCCCTTCCAACCCAAACTATCATTCTTTAACTTCTACGACAATAACAATGTGCATTGATGCTTTTAGCACATGAAAAAATAATGAGGACAAAACAGTTAAACTGAAGACAGGAGAGAAGTTGCTTTCGAGAGAGAAATTGCTAATGCAAGATGTGCTCTTCAGTCTAGGTGATCTTACGAACTTAGTAATTTATTTTTTTTTTCCCCAGAATTAGGCATTGGAGACCTTATTCCAGTGGATGTTAATCATCTCAATATTTGTAAGCCAAAGAAGAAGGATGCTTTCCTGTACCAACGTACACTGAAGTTCATTCAGGATGTTTTAGCCCAAGAACTTGGAGACTGAGTTTTTGCCATCCTTGGCTGCTTATCTACTCCATTTGGTGTAACACCGTAAGTTCTTCTCCTAAAATTTTTTAGGGGATCTGCAGAACTACAAAGATGCTATGTCAATAGTATCTGCTGCTAAAATAATTTTCAGTACATCTCCAACTTAGACACCTCTCCAGCTTATTTTGAAAATACATTCAAAAGAAATACAAACTGAAGTTCTATAAGAAGAAAACGTGTGTTGGCTTAGAGTGACCATGATCTGTCAACAAAATGTGTGTAAATTCTCCAACAATTTGCCTGGGAGGGGATGGGGATTCAGTGGAAGAGAAGTTTCACTTAGTCTACAGATACCCCTCTGGAGCAACACAGCTAGACTATGGAGAGTGTCCAGGATATCATCTTTTAACCAAAAAAAAAAAACCAAAACAAAAAAAAAAAACCCCACAACCTTTCTCTAGAGGTAGGTGGCCTCATTAAGGTAAATATACATCTAGGACCGAAGTCTTATAGAGAGGTTCAGAAACAATGAAGAGGCAGTTATTTCTCGTGTCAAAGAGAAGCAGCATGTGGCGGCCTCAAAGCTTTGGTTTACTGTCCATATTAAGTAGTCTGACTGGAGCCTGAAGAAATTTATCCACGTGAACGAAGGTAGCATTTTGGTCTAGTGGCCCAATTACAGGAGTTTTTGTAATTTGCCTTTTCATTTAATAGATCACCCAGATTTGTCAGTGAACATGTCATCTGTTTTCTGCACAAGGAGGAGATAGGCTGGTAGGTTGTCTTGCATAGGCAACTATAGTTATTTTAATCTGTTTGTGTAAATGAAAACAAAAGAAATGTTCATCACCTTGTACATTTCTCTCTTGATCTTAGCAACTTGTGAGATTTGGTTTCTTTAGGACCGTGTGTATCTGGTCGGACTCAGGGCAGTTCTGGGCTTGTTCACATGGGAGATTCAGAACAGAGGCTTAGCTCTCTTGCTTTACTCTTGGGACACATTGAGATGATGGTACATTCAAATCACTGGCTCGTGTTACTCATTTAGAAACTCTTTCTGTAGCTGATTTAAAGAAGAGCTTGACAATGCTCAAGTGGAATAAGACAAATGTAGGTCCTGACAAAAAAGCTGATGCTTAGAGTTTGGAGCTCAGGTGGAGAAAAAGTAAAGCAGAAACAATTCAGGTGATCATAAGGTCCCACTGGAAATACAGATCCCTGCTGTTTTGGTTTCTTGAGGCCCAAGTGTATTTGATGGTGTAGATACAGAGAAAAGCAGTGTTGTCTTATTTGAGTTTATGTTTATGTTAAGGATACCTTAACAGGACTGATGAGAAATAAGTATTTTTAGGAAAAAAAATGGAGTGCTCAGCCACTTTTTTAAAGTCTTAAATAGTTTACAGTGTAGTTAAAAGCAGTCTAGCCTAATTGTAGTCTCCCTTCCTTCCTTTCTTTCCATCCCTAACCCCCTCTGAAAACAAACACAGGCTATGATTAGGCTATACTGCCCTAGCTGACCATTTGTTAAATAAGGCCTGTACTGCTGGCAGGCTTTAGATGTTGCTTAGCATCACTTGTGTGAGATGGATCTAACATCACTGGCCTTGCAGTTGTGGCCATGAAAGCTACCAGGGAGGTGGGGTGTGCTTTGCAGTTCTGCATGGGCTCGGTGCAGGCGCCGGTGGCCGCTGCCGTCCTGCCGCGTCCTGGGGCCACCTCCGCTGTTCCCACTTGAGCTCTCCGGCCCGGGAGGACGCTGCATCTGAAAAGGCACTTCTGCAGGTTGAGCCTTGACCTGCTGGAGTTGTGGAGTAAAATTCGCAAGAGCAGTACAGAGAACGTACAGCACTACTCTGGCAAAAAGAGCGTTTTTCCCCCCAGTCAAGATGTAGGTAAGAACCCTGCATAGCAGTAGTTCAGATAGAAAATGTAACAGAACTGCTGTAACTTCTACAGGGGTTTGTCCTTTTTACACTGTGGTTTAAACTTCAGTGTAAATATATTAGAATGCTTTGTATTCACAAAGTAGCAGGTATGTGGAGTGCATTGTGAATAGACAAGACTTCTGATAACTGAATACATGTTTAGTGTGACAAACTTTTTATTGATTTTAATAGACAACTTTTGGCTTACAGGGATTCCGATCAATGATGTTACACATTAAGCTCAGTAAATGTGTCTGTTTTGATACTGGAACTCTTGAGGCAACTTTTTGTAACTATGTATATATGTGTAACTTAAAACTAATATTTTGAGGGGTATTGGTGTTTTGGTTTTTGGTTTGTGTTTTTTTTTTGTTTTGTTTTTTTAATATAGTAATGAAATGTGGTTTTTTAACTATGTACTAGATAAGCCACAACGCATATTAAAGGTGAACGATCTACCAAATGAATACTCTGGATCACGTTCACTTTTGTTAAAGACCTGCATTATTTTTTAGTGATTGTCTCATGCTGAAAAAATGTCATGTTTACCGTTCATCTTCGGTAAGAGGCATAGTACTGGGGGGCACAGCCAGTCATCAGTTTTGCCAAACTGGACAGTTTTTCAGTTGTGTTCTTAAATTTTGCCAAAGTGCCTCCTAAACCATGTACAGACACTGCATAGAGGGCCAGAGAGTCTGCTGCACAGCATTCATGTCTGCTTCGCATTAGCAACTTGTGCTTTCCTGCTTCCCTGGTGTCACATTAATTCAGAATAGTTCCATTATGTAAATTCTTAGGTCGCAAACTATGTCCTTAATCCCATCTAGCTGGGATCCCAGCTGTGGTTGTGGCTAGCAGGTATGTGTGAATTGTCTGAGAAGATGGTATTTTGTCTGCATTGTTGCATGCAAGACTAAAATAGTAAGACAGGAAGGGAAGGCTCATAGGAATCTGTCAGTCCTTGTGCACTCATTGTCCAGAACTCTTGTATAACTGTATTGGTATTTCTAGTGGCAACAGTCATCAAGTTTTTAATTGCTGTGATATTACAGTAGTGCAAACTGGCTTTCACTGAGATTTGTGTTTCATGGTGCCAGGCAGAACAGCTAGCTAGAAAGGAGAAATTTCCATCTGGTGGAAATGTCAACTCTGGACAAAAAGGAAAAGACAAAAATGTTGTTTTGTCAGAGAGGAAATTCTAAACAATATTTTGGTTTTTGGTTCTCTTTGTTTGTTTCAATGAACACCCACCGAAAAAAGCTAAATTGAGCAGTTGCTATTACCAAGGAGAACCAGTTACCCACCCCAAACACAAAGGCATCATCTGAACCACCAAGATGCCTGTAGCAACTTCAAGCTGCTGTACCACAGGGTTCCAGGCAAGCTCGCATGGTGTTGCTCTCTTGCCAAGGTCTCCCACAATAAATAAGCACACAGACACATACCTACTTGTATCTGTTAAATCATTCATACCTGGCTTCACAGCCAGTGTCAACAATTGTAAGATTTCCAAGTGGTGAGTTCACAACATGAAAAATGTCAGGGCAGAGCTGCTCCCTACCACCCGCTATACGGCCCTCAAGACTGGTGGCTCTCACCACGAACACTGGTTTTCACAGTGTCCCAGTGAGAATGGGTGACAGAGCTGTGCTGCAGGTTCCCTAGTTGTGGACGTCAGGTAATGATGGTTCAGGTTACTTGGCCTCTTTTCACATTGTGGTAGGGCCCGGCTCAATCCTGAATGAGAAGGCAACAATCGCCACCTCCTGCAGTCTGAGGTTTCTGTGGTGCAGAACTACAGAACGCAGAGCAAGTCTGGCCCTGCTTTGCTTCTCCTGACTGTTAAGACTAGAACCCAGGTCATCAGCACCTGCCTCTGAAAAAAATACTTGGCTGGGGTGCCGGGCACGGGTGTGGAAGATGATATACTGAGGCAGGAGATTCCTTATTCTTTGCTGTAACCTTTTCAGCTGGACTGTCTGTTCCTTTCCCTTGATTTGCTGCGATTGAACAGGATGTGCTGTCACTGATAGTATAAACCAGCTTAGCTGCAGGGATTCATACTTTAATAGGCAGCCTGCCACATATGTAGACAGAAGATATAATGCTAAAGGCCAGATACTTCTCTTATTCAAGGAGAGTAATAAAGCAGATTTTATTTGACTTGTATAAATCCACTTTAATTGGCTTTCCTGCTAACACTTTCATTAACATGTAAATTAGCTGTCCTAGAGCTGTTAATTTATCTTTGCAGAAAATGTTGGATATGGTCATATAATGTACTTACTCTTTTTTACCGCTCTTAATGTTTTATACTGAAATGTGCCCATAAATATTCACTGTAATTTTTTTTTTAAAGAGGAGGACAAAGAGGCTAAGGCTCTGTGTCATCTTGTAGGGAAACACCTATCTCGCTTCAGCATTATTCACCAGCCTGCTACCATGTTAAACTGATACGTAAGAAGCTGAGCACTGGGTTTTACTGGTTTGGCCTTTTGAAGGGTTTGAGGATTTTTTAAAGTGTCTGTCAGCCAGAGGAGCAGAGGAGGATGGCAGGTGCTCAGACAAAGGCACAACTTGTTACAGGATGTGTTCACAATTTGGCAGCAGCAGTGAAGCAGGTAGGCATTACAAGTAAGAAAATGGCTGAATTCCCAGTTTCCAAGAAGCTGAGAACAAGCCAATTAATTTTGTCTATGGAAAAAAAAAAATTCTGAACTCTTTTAAGACATCTTTTCTGCAAAAAAATCTGAAAATGAGGGTTTTTTCAGCTTCACCAGCTGCTTAAAAATGCTCTCTTTCCTTTACTAATAAAAGATCTTGATGCTTCTCTTAACAAGTTACCATGACAAGTTGCAATCTGCTTATCATTTTTAACTGCCTGCTCTGAACAAATGGCAGCTATAGTGTACAGTTTCACTGCACAGGCAAGGCAAAAGCCTGCGCAGCTACAGCAGCTACCAGACACATTTAGCACCGTGGATTATCCTCACCAAAATCTTGGGCTTCTAAGAAGGGTGATTGCTGGCTTGCTAATAAATGAGAAGTGACTTCATTATGAAGATCAGCCTGCTTCGAGCTGAGCAGCAATGCTTCATGAGACCATGGTGGGCTGAAGGTGACCTATAGCCTCACCTGAAACACTTGTCCTGTAGGCTCTGGTGGAATCCCGGGTGGATGTGAGGGAGAAGCGGAGCAGGCCCGCAGGAGTACTTGCCTGGGGTTTCTACAGTGGTTAACAGGGGGTGCTTCCCCTAGCTACGCTTTGTCATCTGAACAGTGAATGATCATCTTTCAAATCCTTGTTTGCAAGAACCTGGCACAGAACAGGTTATGGTAGTTTGCTCGCCTGTTGGTCTCACTCTACGTTGCAGCTACATCGGAGCTCCACTCCCGGTCTGGATGCACAGTGCACCTGAGCTACGGCTTTACTCACAGCAGTGCACATGCTGCTTACATTTGTCCTCAGTCTTATGTGCAGTTGCCCAGGGCTGGTTGCCTGCCTTAGCCTTCCTAGCCCAGGCTCAGTGACTATATTGTTTCCCAGGGCTGCCTGGCCCTCTGTGGCAGCATGGCCTTACTGCAGCTGCTGAGGTGAGTGGGAAGCAGACAGCTCCTGCCCTGGTACAAAATAAACAGACTGCATAGCTGATGATCAGCAGAAACGTACAGCAAGAGCGGTAGCTCTGCACCCTTCCACCTCCTACCAACCTCCCAGTTTGGTGTCCAAGCTGAGCTTTACTGTGAGTGGGCAAACTCACAATGAGGCCGTAAGCGACTGTTCTCTCTGCAGGAGGGTTCTGTCATTCCCAGTCATCGGCTTGTGCTTTAGTTTCAGGACATGGCAGCCTGTGTTGCACCTGCATAAATTTAGGTTCCAAGACCAGCTCTTTCCTCATCTGCACTGTGGAAATAGAAGACTGACATAGCATTTTCTTACAAAGACACAGAATAGGAACAGGGACACTACTGAATTATTAAACTGTCTCTAGCATAAGATGCTAATATGCTAATGACCTACTGTCCTGTTTTTTGCTGGGATAGAGTTAAATTTGTGTCTTAGTAGCTAGAACAGTGCTGTGCTTTGGATTCAGTACGGGATCTGGTATGAGAAGAATGCTGACAGCACACTGATGTTTTCAGTTGTTGCTCAGAGATCAAGGACTCTCCAACCCCCCATGTCCTGCCCCTGCGCAGGATACAAGCAGCTGGGAGGGAGCACGGCCAGAGCACCGGCCCCAAACTGGCCAATGAAATATTCCATATCCTGTAAGGTCATGCTCAGTATATAAGAGGGGTGGCCAGGAAGGAGGGGGTTCTCTCTCGCTTCTGGGATTGCGACTGCGGGATTTTGGTATTTCAGAATCGCTAGCTGGGAACGGGCTGGGTGTCAGCCAGTGGCTGCATTACCCGTCTGTACTTACTGTTTTATTTCAATTATTAAACTGCTTTTATCTCAATCTACAAGTCTCCCCTTACCCCTCCACTTCTCTCCCCCATCCCCTGGGTACAGCTGTGTGGTGTTTGGCTGCCGGCTGGGTTTAAACCACAGCACCAGTGTCATCACTTGCCTGGCTGGGAGTAAAAACGGGTGCTTCTTGGTGATGCCAGGGCACCACCTCCCATAGTCCTGCTTTACAGCCTGATGGTACACACCTTCCATTTTTCTTCTAACACAGGAATGAATTCACCAAGGTAAGTACTAGGGCCTGCCACCAGTGCAGCTAGTTAAGATCTACAAGGTGCTGTTGAAGCCTTATTTCCAGAGCGGAAACTAAGTAGCAGAACAATACCCGTGGTCCTGCTGTAGTTACACTAGTATGTATTCCCCTTTTGTATGTTTGTTCCAGAATAACTGTAGCAGTCTAACTACTCAAGATAAAGGTGCTTTATTTCAAGTGATAGAAATTAATATATAAATTCCACAGGAAAAATGTTTTTCTTAATGTCTTTCTTCCATACATCACTACATGTTCTTACATATGATTTGTACCTGAAATGAAATAAAACATCTTAAGATGGATTAATAAAAAGAAATAACTTAGAATAAAGACCTTCTCAAACAAGCTGCAGATAATGTTAGGTTGTATATACACGTCCCTCCAGGGGCAGTATCTTTATCTTTAAACAAGAAAATGAAATGTAGCATGGACAGATGATCTAGTTCCTTAAATAAAAATCTATGTGCAAAAGTTTTATTTTTATTTTGCATTATAATTATGATTTCTATTGGAACATTAAGGGCAAAACATTTTACAATTCTAAATCTGTATTTGTCTTCATCAAGGTATTTTTGTTTTGTTCTAAGACGAGCAGTTTGTTGAACCCTTCTGACAGCTCGCTGCTGTCTTCATCATCACTAAATGTAACCCAGTGACTGAAATCTTTCAAGCTGGGGCGTTTTAACTTTTCTGGAGTGTGTGCAGGAGAAGTAGCTGAGGCTGCCTGTATGGAAAGAGGGCAAGAAGAATCCATGTCCAGGTTCAAAAGATTGATGTTCTCTGGAAGAGAGCTGGTATTTGAGAGCTGTGGATGCTGGCCGCCTGGTGCAGGAGGGCCCTGGAAGTGGAGCACTTCTGCGGCATTTGGTGCCAGCTGCTTAGCCATGTTGTTTTTGGGGCCGGCAGGGGAGGCAGGAGGTGAGGGAGCAGGCTGCATGGGGACATGAGTGTCCTGAGTCTGGGGGCAGAACCCAGGATTGTTGTTGTTGGTGTTGAACATTAACCCACTAAAAAGTGGGTTGTCACTGCTCTGAAGAACTTGCAGGTGAAGAGCTGCAGGGGCTGACTTCTTTCTTCGCGGTGGCACCTTTGGGGCAAAGGAAGCGTTTGAGAGAGGCAGGGCGATGGCCTCAGCCATGCTTGCTGAGGGGGGGGGCTGCCTTTCGCTGCTCCCCCTCCTCTCCTGAGGCTTCCCAGGTTGTGGTGTTCTCGGTTTAGGGATTGGTGTAATCCTGGTTGGATTAAGAAAAGCTCCAGCTTCTAGACAGGGCTCTGGCGAGCCAAAAGGAGATGGTACTGTCTGTTGGTCAAATTGCTCTTCTGGAGACACAGCCTAAGGGGGAAAGGAACAAGAAACTTGAGAACAAAAAGGGCACCTTAAACTCTGAGTCACGACTAGTGCAAGTCTTACTGATGGTGTTACTGAGAAAAGCTGACAGTACTGTAAGGAAAAAAAAGCCGTATGAAGAGGAGGCTTGACAGCATAGTTTCACACTGTACCTGTTTGGTTCTGCTCTCATGCATCATGCCTTGGACCAGTGCTCATTTACAGAGTGCTATTTGAGGACAAGGATCCTGCAGCCTGTTTGCTCCCTGTAGGAGAAATACATCTCTTTCTGACCATCTCTTTTTCATGTCAGGATTTTGCTCTGGGCCAAATTAACACAGTTTTGAAGAATTATTTGTTACATCTCTCCGCTGACTAATATTATTTAAGCAAGAA